TTTGGGATACAGCAAAGGCAGTCCTGAGAGGAAAGTATATAGCAATACAAGCCTTTCTCAAGAAACAAGAAAGGTCTCAAATACACAACCTAATCCTACACCTAAAGGAGCTGGAGAAAGAACAGCAAATAAAGCCTAAACCCAGCAGGAGAAGAGAAATAATAAAGATCATAGCAGAAATCAATGAACTAGAAACCAAAAGAACAGTAGAACAGATCAACGAAACTAGGAGCTGGTTCTTTGAAAGAATTAACAAGATTGATAAACCCCTGGCCAGACTTATCAAAAAGAAAAGAGAAATGACCCAAATCAACAAAATCATGAATGAAAGAGGAGAGATCACAACCAACACCAAAGAAATACAAACAATTATAAGAACATATTATGAGCAACTCTATGCCAGCAAATTAGATAACCTGGAAGAAATGGGTGCATTCCTAGAGATGTATCAACTACCAAAATTGAACCAGGAAGAAATAGAAAACCTGAACAGATCTAGAACCACTAAGAAAATTGAAGCAGTCATCAAAAATCTCCCAAGAAACAAAAGCCCAGGGCCAGATGGCTTCCCAGGGGAATTCTACAAAACATTTCAAGAAGAATTAATACGTATTCTCCTGAAACTGTTCCAAAAATTAGAAATGGAAGGAAAACTTCCAAACTCATTTTATGAGGCCACCATTACCTTGATCCCAAAACCAGACAAAGACCCCATGAAAAAGGAGAATTACAGACCAATATCCTTGATGAACATGGGTGCAAAAATTCTCACCAAAATACTAGCCAATAGGATCCAACAGTACATTAAAACGATTATTCACCATGACCAAGTGGGATTTATCCCTGGGCTGCAAGGCTGGTTCAACATCTGCAAATCAATCAATGTGATACAATACGTTAACAAAAGAAAGAACAAGAATCATATGATCCTCTCAATAGATGCAGAAAAAGCATTTGACAAAGTACAGCATCCTTTCTTGATCAAAACTCTTCAGAGTATAGGGATAGAGGGTACCTACCTCAATATCATAAAAGCCATCTATGAAAAACCTACAGCGAATATCATTCTCAATGGGGAAAAGCTGAGAGCTTTTCCCCTAAGGTCAGGAACGCGGTAGGGATGTCCACTATCACCACTGCTATTCCACAGAGTATTAGAAGTCCTAGCCACAGCAATCAGACAACGAAAAGAAATCAAAGGCATCCAAATCGGCAAAGAGGAAGTCAAACTCTCACTCTTTGCAGATGATATGATACTGTATGTGGAAAACCCAAAAGACTCCACCCCAAAACTGCTAGAACTCATACAGGAATTCAGTAAAATAGCAAGATATAAAATCAATGCACAGAAATCAGTGGCATTCCTATACACCAACAACAAGACAGAAGAGAGACAAATCAACGAGTCGATCCCATTTACAATTGCACCCAAAACCATAAGATACCTAGGAATAAATCTAACCAAAGAGGCAAAGGATCTGTACTCAGAAAACTATAAAATACTCAGGAAAGAAATTGAAGAAGACACAAAGAAATGGAAAAACGTTCCGTGCTCATGGATTGGAAGAACGAACATTGTGAAGATATCAGTGCTACCTAGAGCAATCTACACATTCAATGCAATCCCCATCAAAATACCATCCACTTTTTTCAAAGAAATGGAACAAAGAATCCTAAAATTTGTATGGAACCAGAAGAGACCCCGAATAGCCAGAGGAATGTTGAAAAAGACAAGCAAAGCTGGCGGCATCACAATTCCAGACTTCCAGCTCTATTACAAAGCTGTCATCATCAAGACAGTATGGTACTGGCACAAAAACAGACACATAGATCAATGGAACAGAATAGAGAGCCCAGAAATGGACCCTCAACTCTATGGTCAACTTGTCTTTGACAAAGCAGGAAGGAAGGTCCAATGGAAAAAAGACAGTCTCTTCAACAAATGGTGTTGGGAAAATTGGACAGCCACATGCAGAAGAATGAAACTGGACCATTTCCTTACACCACACACAAAAATAGACTCCAAATGGTTGAAAGACCTAAACGTGAGACAGGAGTCCATCAAAATCCTAAAGGAGAACACAGGGAGCAACCTCTTCGACCTCAGCCGCAGCAACTTCTTCCTAGAAACATCGCCAAAGGCAAGGGAAGCAAGGCAAAAAGGAACTATTGGGATTTCATCACGATAAAAAGCTTTTGCACAGCAAAAGAAACAGTCCACAAAACCAAAAGACAACCGACAGAATGGGAGAAAATATTTGCAAATGACATATGAGATAAAGGGCTAGTATCCAAAATCTATAAAGAACTTATCAAACTCAACACCCAAAGAACAAATAATCCAATCAAGAAATGGGCAGAAGACATGAACAGACATTTTTCCAAAGAAGACATCCAAATGGCCAACAGACACATGAAAAAGTGCTCAACATCGTTCGGCATCAGGGAAATCCAAATCAAAACCTCAATGAGATACCACCTCACACCAGTCAGAATGGCTAAAATTAACAAGTCAGGAAACGACAGATGTTGGCGGGGATGTGGAGAAAGGGGGACCCTCCTACATGGTTGGTGGGAATGCAAGCTGGTGCAACCACTCTAGAAAACAGTATGGAGGTTCCTCAAACAGTTGAAAATAGAGCTACCATACGATCCAGCAATTGCACTACTGGGTATTTACCCCAAAGATACAAATGTAGGGATCCGAAGGGGTACGTGCACCCCAATGTTTATAGCAGCAATGTCCACAATAGCCAAACTGTGGAAAGAGCCAAGATGTCCATCGACAGATGAATGGATAAAGAAGAGATGGTATATATACACAATGGAATATTATGCAGCCATCAAAAGGAATGAGATCTTGCCATTTGCAACGACGTGGATGGAACTGGAGGGTGTTATGCTGAGTGAAATAAGTCAATCAGAGGAAGATATGTATCATATGACTTCAGTGATATGAGGAATTCTTAATCTCAGGAAACAAACTAAGGGTTCCTGGAGTGGTGGGGGGGTGGGCAGGATGGGGTGGCTGGGTGATAGACACTGGGGAGGGTATGTGCTATGATGAGCGCTGTGAATTGTGCAAGACTGTTGAATCACAGATCTGTACCTCTGAAACAAATAATGCAATATATGTTAAGAAAAAAAAAGAAGAAGAAGATAGCAGGAGGGGAAGAATGAAGGGGGGGAAATCAGAGAGGGAAATCAACCACTAGAGACAATGGACTCTGAAAAACAAACTGAGGGTTCTAGAGGGGAGGGGGTTGGGGGGATGGGTTAGCCTGGTGATGGGTATTAAAGAGGACACGTTCTGTGTGGAGCACTGGGTGTTATGCACAAACAATGAATCATGGAACACTACATCAAAAACTAATGATGTAATGTATGGTGGTTAACATAACAATAAAAAAATTTATAGGTAAAAAAACTAAAAAAAATAGTATTTGCTTACAAAACCTTTAATTGCACTCAACTTTTTTTTTTTTAAAGATTTTATTTATTCATTCATGAGAGACAGAGGGATAGAGAGAGAGACAGAGAGAGAGAAGCAGAGGGAGCAGCAGGCTCCCAAGGAGCAGGGAGCCCGATGCAGGACTCGATCCCAGGACCCTGGGATCATGACCTGAGCCGAAGGCAGATGCTTAACCATCTGAGCCACCCAGGTGCCCTGTACTCAACTATTGAGAGAAACACTTATCCCATAAAGTAAAAGGACATGTAGAACAAGGGGGTCAGACTGACCCAGAGCAGGAACAAGCGTCAATCAACATTATTGACAAGGTGGGGCAGAGTTTTTTCAAACTTGTTCTCCTTTTCTTATTTAAAACGTTATTTTTAACATTCATTCATTAGGTCCCAAAGTGTCCTTGTGAATAGGTGGATTTATTCATGCATGTATTGAGTTGCTTGTGAAATCTGCCTTGCATTTTCACACAATAATGTCTTTCCAAGGTCGTATTATTACTTCTAATAGGAGCATCAATACAATTGATGTTGATTTTTCTTCATGCTGAAGCACTACGTGGGTAGCCCTGAAACTGTGCACTGGCTGCTTTTACCTGCTTCTGCCAGGGTTTTTTAATTATCTAAGAGAGGAAGGCTTTCTCTAAATCCATAGCTATTATAAGGCAAACCATGCCTAGCTCTTGTTGGTAGTTTCGTTGACTTATTATGCAGCAGTGATAGAAAGATAAAGCTTCCTCAGGTAGAAGAGCAAGGAGGAGACAGAACCAGTCCAAAGCACAGGGAACTAAGTCTTTAAGATAGTGTTTATGGAAAGAAAGAGGGTGGGTCCTGGTTGTAGCATGGAAACAAAAGCAGAAGTTGACTCACTTGAGTGTGCTCATCCTCTAGACATGCTGGGACCTCAGAGGCTGGTGGAGGAAAAGAGAAGAAAGCTGGGAACTGCCAGGTCCAAGACTAGGGCACCAAGATTGTAAAATAGGACTGACCCCCTAATAAGGGTATGAAGCAGCCATCAACATAACAAGTAAAAAAGATGTGGTTCCCATGAGCTCCTAGGCCAGCATTGATATCAAGGTGGAAACTTTTGGGCAAAAAGAGCAAGATCACAAGATTTTCTAGATATTATGGTCTGTGGTATCTGGCTCATGATCTGATTTTGTAAAAGTTTTATTGGAACACACATCTGCTCAGGCTACAGTGGTAGAATTGACAGAGACTGTAGGGTTTACAAAGCCCCAAATTTTTCTATCTGACCTTTTAACACAAAATGTTTGGCAACCACTGTTCTACAAGATGATGAGGGTTGGAGTCAGCATTGCGGTGCCAGTTGATGTGTTTGGTTCAAAGACACACCCTAGGCATGGGTTGAGGGAGAAGAGTCAAATGGTAAGGTATAGACTGGATGTCAAAACCACCACTGACTGCTTTAGAGTTCAGTACCTCAGGTATAGGCAAAATCTCTCCTATTGACAGGACAAACATGGTGGGAATTCAATCAAGAATGAGGCTCAGCAGAATTGTGGAATTCAAGCTTACCTTAGTTAGAGAAGATGCCAAGTCTAGGGCAGTGAGTCCAATTTCAGTGACCTGCTGGGAGGTTTGAACCAATGGTCAGTTTCAAGTGCTTAGGGCTCGACAGCATTAGAAGCTAGAAGGCAGAGGCTAACCCAGAAAGAACTATCAAGTCCAAGTAATTTGGATCTTTCTTCTAAAAAATAGGCGTTATCATCTCTATTTCCTCTTCAATATGGTAGCTTATCACCCTCATCAACCCAAGGTAATGAGATGGAAATTTCTCCCGGGTAGGTTTGCCAGATTTAGCAAATAATAGTACAGGACATTGAGTTTAATTTGAATTTCAGATAAACAATGAAAAAAATACTACAGATAAAGGGCTGGTATCCAAGATCTATAAAGAACTTCTCAAACTCAACACCCAAAAAACAAATAAGTCAAAAAATGGGCAGAAGACATGAACAGACACATCTCCAAAGAAGACACACAAATGGCTAACAGACACATAAAAAAATGTTCATCATCACTAGCCATCAGGGAAATTCAAATCAAAACCACACTGAGATATCACCTTACACCAGTTAGAATGGCAAAAATTGTCAAGGCAAGAAACAACAAATGTTGGAGAGGTTGTGGAGAAAGGGGAACCCTCTTACACTGTTGGTGGGAATGCAAGTTGGTATAGCCACTTTGGAAAACAGTGTGGAGGTGCCTCAGAAAATTAAAAATAGAGCTTTACCCTATGACCCAGCAATTGCACTAGTGGGTATTTACCCCAAAGAAACAGATGTGGTGAAAAGAAAGGCCATAAGCACCCCAGTGTTCATAGCAGCAATGTCCACAATAGCCAAACTATTGAAAGAGCTGAGATGCCCTTCAACAGATGACTGGGGTAAAGAAGACGTGGTCCATATGTACAATGGAATATTACTCAGCCATCAGAAAGGATGAATACCCAACTTTTGCATCAACATGGATGAGACTGGAGGAGATTATGCTACGTGAAATAAGTCAAGCAGAGAAAGTCAGTTATCATATGGTTTCACTTATTTGTGGAACATAAGGAACAGCATGGAGGACATTAGGAGAAGGAAGGGAAAAATGAAGGGGGGAAATCGGAGGGAGAGATGAACCATGAGAGACTATGGACTCTGAGAAACAAACTGAGGGTTCTAGAGGGAGGGGGGAGGAGGGATGGGTTAGCCCGGTGATGGGTATTAAGGAGGGCACATACCGCATGGATCACTGGGTGTTATACGAAAACAATGAATAGTGAATCATTACAGCAAAAACTAATGATGTATTGTATGGTGACTAACATAAAATAAAATTTAAAAAAAAAAAGCAATGAAAAAAATCTTAATATAAGTATGTTTGAAATATTGCGTTGGACCTTTTTATAATAAAAATTATTTATTGGAATTCAAATTTAACTGGAATCCTTCGTTTCTTCTGGCAACATCATTCCTAAGAAACTGGCCACCAATTTGTGATAAATCATGACTAAACTAAATATTTTGACTTCTAGGGCAGCAAGAAATTTCTAGTCCTTTGGTTTCTCTTCTAGTCTTTTTTCTGCTTCTCCCTCCATCCACATACAGACTTCTTCTTCCTCACCTCTTTCTAGTTCCTCTACACCACTTCCTTTCCAAGGGCTGTCTGGGAGAGAGGACCAATCGCATCTATCAACGCTTCCAAGAATTATAATACTGTTTCAACTGCCATTGATTGACCCAGAAAAGGGCTGAAAACTGAGAAAGAAGACGTCAAACTTCTTAACGTGACTCACAGGAAGGAAACCTGGTGAACAGACAGTTGGATGATAGGCTTCTGACTCACAAAGTTTTTTTTGGCTAAAGATTTTTAGGCATCCATCACCGTTAGTTTGCTATTGAGAAACCGCTGAGGTTTCCCTGGCAGTGCACAGAATGCTGTCTTGGTGCAAAAAAAACCAAAACAAACCAACCAAACAAAAAACATGTGGCTTTAAATTAACTTCTGGGCACTTGATGGTTCCACACATTGAATTAAAATGGGCATTTGGGGAATTTGTCTTTATCTGAAAGCCTCAGATAAAAAGCAGAAGGCTCTCTGAGGGCCATTATGCCAAAATTGTGTTCTGGGTAGATGTTCTTAGGAGAGGCTCAGGAGAAGTCAAATCTGTGTGACTTGCTCTGTGCTGCAGTCAGTGGATAAACCTCACCTGCAGTGAAGACGATGTGGGTGAAGATTATGCTCAGTGAGACTTTAGGAGCTTGCGTAATATGTAAGATGTAGAAAATATTAAACTGATGTGATTTTACCCTTCCCCCCATCGATCATACCTTTAGCAACCTTTCCACAATGGTGGCAGTGTTGGAGGCCATTTGGGTCTCCCTTCAAGAATTTGCTGGTCAGCTGTAAGGTGTGTAGTTAGCTTACAGCCTCCAGATATCAGCACCTTAAGATCTGCTTCACCTTTTGAGCTGTGGCCGTGGTCTTCCTGGGGCATCCCACAGCCAATGGCTGAGCAATAGCTGGGTGCTAGGCCTGGCCATTTCTTTTCAATATGGGCTTCCTCTAATGAGTGATCTGAGTTCTGGAATTCCCCGTTGAGATGGCCAAAACTTAAGAGTGGTCTGAGGCTCTCCCTGTCCAGTCTTGCTTTCTCAATCTTTTATCTTCACAGTGTCACTACCCAATAAACGTCCTACCTTCTTAATTCTGTCCCAGTGTCCTCTTATCTGGGGACACACTTGATACAACCATCACGGCCCCGAGGAAGTGGGCAGGCCAGGTGGCAATCTAGGAAAGGAAAAGATATTTTGAGGGGAACATTCTTACCAGAAAGGAAGGCGTGGTAAGGCATACTCTTTCCTGCCAAGGAGAGTACGGAAATAAGAAGAGACATGGGAGCAGGGTCAGACCTTTCCATCTTAGGGTGCCTCGCCTCCTCCTTGGAGCCAAGCCTCGTTGGAGAGGGAACCATGGATGCATTCAGAAAGGTAGGGGGAGACTAACAGTATTGGGGCAAGTAACCTACTTTCCCCCATATAACCTGGAGGAGTCTGAAAGCACTTAGGAGAAGCCCCACATTTGTCTTGGCACCATAGCTTGAGTGGGACAGGGCAGCATTAGCAGACGGAGGGACCTTGGTATCTCTTTATTCCCACATGCTCTGCTGAGGGTCAGGGATCACTGGCAATGCAGAAGCCTGAGGTTTGGAAATGGAGGCCAGTGAGATCAGGCAGTTTGATTTCTAGGGGCAAGAGCAGCGTCGATGTCCCATGCCATTGCATGCCAATAAACAAACTCGACCAGAGGCAACTGGGGATACTAGCACAGACTAAATAGGCCCAGAAACTCAGCAGGGGAGCCCACCAACACCAGAGTTCACCATGCTATTTCCCACACCCATAGCCACGTAGTAATGACACCTCCACCAATCAGAGACCCAGGTGCTATGTTGGGAGACCTGGGGATAGTGGAGGAGTCCGAGATATGCTGACTGAGTGTGCAAGTCTAGCCTTTTCCTGTAAATTCTATAGGGTTGTTTTTTATTTTTTAAACAAAACAAAGAAGATGCATATTTTTGCATGTCTGAGTGTGTGTGAATTAATTGGTGACCCCGTTGCACTTGAATAAAACATTTCACATTTTGAATTTTTGCCCAAGCAACGGAGTTAAGGAGAGGTCAGGCTTAGCATCTCCTAAGTCATATCTGGACAGCAACTTCCTGCAGAGAACCTCCACGGACTGGATAAATTACAGATCCATGTACGGTGAATATTTGGCTGCTCTCTTGACCACATCTTCCAAGGGATGGGAGATAAACCACTGGTGATAGCCAAGATGATTTTAGGTTGTGTGTGAACACCAGCAATTAGCACTGAATCACACCCAAAGTATCTTATTTCCAGTTTCTCAGCCCTTCTGATCACGTAAGAGCAAGTTTTGGTGGTGTTCTTGTCTCTGACCTCTTGAGCGCTTTCCAGTTCCCCTCCTTAACAAAGTGAGAGCAGACTTCAGACTGAGTAGAAGAGCATGAGCGGCCTTCCAGTCTCAAGTTATTTCCCAGGAGACGGCCACTGGGACCCTTCAACAGAAGTCAAATCATGCCCCTTCTCTTCTTAAGACCTTCCCATGTCTCCTCATCTCACTCACAGGGAAAGCCCAAATTCCTTCAGTGGTGCCAAGGCCCTACTTGCACGGACACTTACCGTCTCTCCTCCACGCATCCTCCTTCTTTCACTGCACCAACCTCTGGTTGGTCTCGAATATTCTTGCCCCAGATACTGGCACAGCTCACATCTTTATCTGTCAGGACTTGATTCAGATGCCCCGTTGGCACTGAGGACCCCCCGGCGATGTTATCTGAGATTGCAAATCTTGCAAATCTCTTCTCTCCTTCTGCTTTTTGCATGTGTGCATGCGCAATATATTTTACTTACTCGGAATTTTTTTTTCTTAATTTTGTCCTTTTTTTAGAAATTTGTCATTCTTATTTCCTGCCTCTCTCACTTGAACGTGAGCTCCATGAGAGTTTCTGTCTGTTTTGTGTACTGCTGTATCCTCAGTACAAAAACAGGGCCTGGGATATATTGAATGCTCATGCTGTATTTACTAGTTGAATAAATGAGTTCTCAGCTTGCTCCTACTTGTTATTGTATCAGGTCTTCCCTCTCCCAATGTCTCGCTTTTTAATTCTCTTCCTTTCCTGGCAAAGTGAATGCAAATAGAACAACAAAAAATCCCCACAAGATGCTATAATTCCCCCTTCTCAACTTCATGGAAATTCTGATACATATATATATTATGTATATATGTATTTATATTATAGATCTTCCTAGGCTTGCAATGAGAACATGTGCTAATAAACCCATTATAAATTGAAAATACTGTAAGTCGAAAAAAAAATGCATGTCACACCCCTAACCTACCAAACATCATAGCTTAGCCTAGCCTGTTAAACATGCTCAGAATATGTACCTTAGCCTACAGCAAAATCATCTAATACAAACCCATTTTATAATAAAATGTTGGCCGTCTCATGTAATTTATGGAAACTGAAAGTGTCAAGCCGAATGGTTGGGTGGGTCCTGGGTGGCTGTAATTGTATCACTGCCCACCCTCGGGATCGCGTGGCTGACTGGGCGCTCTGGCCACCTTCCTGTCCAGGAGCACCAGAGGATCATCCTGTGTATCCTTAGCCCAGGAAAAGATCAAAATTCAGAATTCCAGACAGGGTTTCTACTGAATGTGCATCATTTTCGCACCATTGTGAAGTCGAAAATCATTCAGTCAAACTATCATAAATCAGGACTCTGTATTTTTTTTTCCTTCCAGATGGGAGATTTGGGCTCTACAGTGTCTAGGGAAGAGAATGTGGGAAGTTCTTTGCCTAGCTGGTTTCTCTTCTCCCCCCAGCTCCCATTCATTCTTCTTCCCTCCCTCCTTGCTGCCCCTGCTCTTCTCCCAATCTGTGTGGTGAGCTCTTGGCGTCAGCAGATTGCACCTCCCGGGCAGGGAGGGCTGAGCCCCAGGCTTGGTGTCCCAGCACAAGGACCATCTGCCAGGCTCCTGCTTCTGAGGGCTGCAATTCAGGGTCACCGCGACACTAGACTAAATCACAAACCCAAACCTAGAACCCTGGAACTGAGAGTACCATGGAAGGCCCTGCAGGCCCAGCTCCGCCCAGTAGGCCCAGCTCCGCCCAGCTGGTTGACTTGTTTGCTGTTTCCTCTTGTCACCGCAGCAACGTGTCGGGTTGTCAAGGAGATAGGAGGGAACATTCTGGTGAGAAAGAAGCTCTCCAGAGCGTGGGTGGCAGCAGACAGTCAGTCATCGAGGACAACACCCTACTCCTTGGCTCCGCCTCTCCGCCCACACCCCAAAAAAGCCACACAAGGAGCTGGAATTCAAGGGGCTGACTTTGGAATTCCAACCAGACCTTGCCCACATATACACTCCGGTCCTTGGTGCCCTTAGAGGGGGAGGTTCTTGCTGCTGGATCTGTGGACTTCTCGAAGCCTTGGGGGTGTATTTGTGGTATAAGAAGGCACCTGGTGTTTTTCAAGGGTCAGAAGAGACTAGTGGCTGAGCTCTTCTGCTCTCCTGTGGATGTAAGGCTGTGATAGGGCCCTTGATCACCATGGAGGACCCGGGAAATCGGAAGGAGAAAGGCCGGGGCAAAGCCCTGGGACCTAGGGATTCCTCCTGTGAGTTTGCCTGCCTTCAGTCGAACAAGGTACACCGTGGAGACATCCACCCCAAACTCCAAGAAGGAACACTGCTGTCCAACCCCTAACTCTCATGAACACCGAAATAACAGGACCCGATCTGACAAGCCTTTGGGAGTACACAGTACTGACATCAGAACGCTGCTAAGCACACCTTCATCTTCACAAAGCTTGTGTCTTTTCTCGTAATCGTCTCCACATTAAAAGGGCTTCATGTTCCCTATTTTACAGATGAGAAGATGGTCGTGGAGCCACCTTCTGCTACCAAAAAGTGGCAGGAAAGCCTTGAAAGCCTGGGTCTCATGATCTAAATGTGGGGTGTTTCCCGGCCCCTCCCTGCAGATGAGTTCCTTAAAAACGAGCTGCCCGAGTCTGAGGCCTGAAACCACAGGGCCTACTGATGTGGCTGTGAACTGCTGCTCTCCGGCCAGAAAGACAGAAGCCAAGTGGAAGAGGAACCACACTGCCCTGGAGGACCTTAGCATGTCTCACACATGCTGAATATTTACATGTGTTCCCTGCATGGTCTCTATGGCAACTGGCTGAGGTGCAAAAATGCTTGGTTGGTATTTTTAAGAGGACAAGAAGAGAATGCTCCAAGATCCTCTTTTCTCCCAGCGAGCCAGGCTATTTCCATCCCCTGGCTTCGTGATGTTGCTCCCAGCAGACATCTGGCATGAAGACCTCCAACAGCAGGGAACCAGTGCATTAGTCCAATAGGCGTTGGAGCCTCACAGGATGGAAGGATCTCATCTCCTGCTCCCTCTTCCAGGCAATTATGTGCAGAGTCAGGAAGGGATTTTGTTATTAAGAAGTCTCAATGGTAAGGAGCTGAGAGATTGTGGTTTCCAGCTTTTAACCACAACATTTAAGGCGTGTCTCCATTTTTCTTATGGTTTCCAGGGCACGTCATTATCTAATTCTCCCTGAAGAGTCAGCATTGCTTTATGATGCATATATATCAATGATGTGCGCTGAGGCGCTGAGCCAGCGAACAACATCTTTCTCAGAAACCTCCCTCTTCCATCCGTTTTCTGGCACTGTGTTTTGAAATTGCCCCTCACCCCCTTTCTAACTCAAATGCTGCATGGGAATCTGTGGGCAGGAATGAAGTCTACGTTGCCATGATGAAAACTATAATTCAACACCACGTATGTGCGACAGAATATTTTAACTCTCAGCACCCCAGTTTGTGACTTATATGACTTAGGTGGTGTCTGTTAGTGCCTCGTGTGTCAAAAAACACCATTCTACGTGCTTTGGGAGGAACAAGAATAAAGGTGACTCCCCAAGGTCTTACAAGCTAGTTTAGCTAGTTTAGCTAAGCTCTTTTATAGCACTGAAGAAAGCATTACATGCTCAAGGTGGGACACGTCTATTAAAGCCCATATGAAAAAGAAAGCACCTTTGCAAATGTCCCAGGTGGGGCTGGGTTCACGGGCAGTCATTGGCGCAGTTGTCTGAGACTTATGCTTGGAGGCCTTGCTTGAGTTTCACACAAGACACTGCTGGTGGTCTTGCATTTCCTAACTGATCTTTAACTTTGTGTTTTGTCAGTGAAGTCTG